ACGCCATTTTCTTGATTCATTATTTATAAATATGAGGTACTTTATATATACAAGTCTCATACTAAGTTTTATGAGGAAGATTTAACTTAAGAAATTTTTGGAGAATCTGGGTCCTGGCACACCCTGTCGCAGCCACCCGTGTCCTACCTAACATGTCTATTGTCCCTGAGTCTATTCTGGTCCTCCTGTGCACCACAAGAGTCGATGGAATATTTACTGTAGACCAGATGGCTCACCTATCTGTCTGTGGCCTGCAGGTGTCTGTTATGTCTTTCTGTGGCCTGCAGGTGTCTTATGTTTTTCTGTGGCCTGCAGGTGTCTGTCATGTTTTTCTGTGGCCTGCAGGTGTCTGTCATGTTTTTCTGTGGCCTGCAGGTGTCTGTCATGTTTTTCTGTGGCCTGCAGGTGTCTGTCATGTCTGTGTGCAGGTGTCTGTCATTTTTCTGTGGCCTGCAGGTGTCTGTCATGTTTTTCTGTGGCCTGCAGGTGTCTGTTATGTTTTTCTGTGGCCTGCAGGTGTCTGTCATGTTTTTCTGTGGCCTGCAGGTGTCTGTTATGTTTTTCTGTGGTCGGTTGCTCTCAAAAGAAATCACTGGAGTTTAACGCTCTGATAATTATAATTCGTTAGACATTGTTTACTCAAGATATACCATGTTATAAAGAGTAACACGAACCGGGCTCTAAACTATTTTTAAGATGATACGAGAAAATACAACAACCAAACCCTAAAACACAAGACCCTAATGTTTTGTTTGATTGTTTTGTATATGGTTAGGATGTTTACTCAAAGGAAATAAATCTGAAAAAAATTAATAGATACATGTTATGATAATCCATTTTTCGTAGTAATTTTCCAACAATGGTCATCTTGCTCTGTTTACAACCAAGTGACGCCATCGTACCCTCGAGGTAGATATACTGTACAAACTATGTACGGTGATGACGCTGCGATACACTAACGTATGACAGGTATACGCTGATGCTTTACCCTCTAATATGATGAGGAGGTGAGAGACGCGGGGAAGGGGAGAGTGAGACTAAAAAGAGGAGTGTGATGAGAGGGGAAGGAGCGTGTAGGGATGAGAGGAGAAATGGAAAAGTGAGAATGAGAGGGGAAGGGAGTGATTGATGAGAGCGGGGGAGGTGAGAGTTGAATGAGAAGGGTGTGGGAGACAGTCGGATGAGAGAGGAGTGGGATGAGAAGGGGAAGGAGTGGGCGGGGATGAGAGAGGGAAAGAGGGGGTGGGGTGAAGCCTCCTTGTGCCTCATCGGTCACACGGAGCAGTGAGCACACAGGTTAATTAATGCTCTGCTGGCCACACCTGTGGGCGACGTCTCTCATCCTCCGTTTCTTCTCCCCACTTGCCCCTCCCCTGCCTCACTCCGCCTCTCCCTGCCCCATACACGCTCGGCTCCATCTCGCTCTTCTCCCCTTTCTCTCCGATTCCTTCCAACACCAGCCCCTTCCCTCCCCGTCCATCATTCTCCCTCCCTCCTCCACTCCTTTCCTTCCTTCATCTAATCCTCCACACCCCAGCTCCCTCAAACACAACCTTCTTCCCTCTCTTCCTTCCTGACTCATCGTTCTCTCAGCCTCCTCCACCCCCTCCTTTATATATTGATGTCACTTAATTCAACCATTATGTTCCCCTATACGTCATTCAGCTCAGGCTACCCCACAATCCGCCTTCATTACTCCAATTGATGACAGACTGTAGGGCCAGGGTGGTTAGGACCTAATCTGACCTAACCTAACCCACCTGATGACAGACTACAGGGGCCCAGGGTGGTTAGGACCTGATCTGACCTAACCTAACCCACCTGATGACAGAATGTAGGGCCAGGGTGGTGAGGACCTAACCTAACCTAATCTAATTTAATCTAACCTAAGTTAACCTAACCTAACTTAACTGTGGTCCAAACGTCCGCTAGCGCTGATGACCTCCGCCTTCAGGTGTGGAGAACTAAGTATATCTCTGTAGTTAAGATATACAACGGTAAGACATAATATTGTAGATATATTTCTAGGTTTAGTTTTGTTTTTTCTTTGGGGTGATATTGTGTGTGTGTGTGTGTGTGTGTGTGTGTGTGTGTGTGTGTGTGTGTGTGTGTGTGTGGTACTTATATAATGGACCACTTATAATACGTCTTATATATAAAAAATCTACTTATAATACGAACTACACAGACTACGACCTTATAACTCGGTATATAATAAAGTGTGCTTATAAAGTAGACTAAAGTTTATAGATGAGTGAGACCTCTGTGAACAGCTCCTCTCATATATATATGCATAGATCTTACGTGTGTAATGAAGACAAAGATAACAAGTTTTGACACGTCCATATCTATGTTAATGTGGTATAGTAATGTTGTATAAGGTGGTGGTGGGTCGGGGGGGAGTATGTGGAGGTGTTGGTGGGTCAGGGGAGGTATGTGGTGGTGGGTTAGGAGGTGGTGGTGGTGGGTCAGGGGGGTATGTGGAGGTGGTGGTGGGTCGGGGGTATGTGGTGGTGGGTTAGGAGGAGGAGGAGGAGGTGGTGGGGAGAGGTGTTGGTGGGTTAAGGAGGTGGTGGTGGGTCAGGGGAGGTATGGTGGTGGGTCAGAGTATGTGGAGGTGGTGGTGGGTCAGAGGGGGGTATGTGGAGGTGGTGGTGGGTTGGGGGGGAGGAGGTGGTGGTGGATCAGGGGGGGGAGAGGAGGTGGCAGTAGGTCAGGAGGGGTGGTGGTGGGTTGGGGTGAGGTGGTGGTGTGGGTTGGGGTCAGTGGTGGTGGTGGGTTGGGGGTGAGGTGGTGGTGGTGGTTACATTGGCTTTGATGATTATGATGATGTAACAAGTAAAATTCAGGAACACCTGGAGGTTAGGAATATATCTCTCTCTCTCTCTCTCTCTCTCTCTCTCTCTCTCTCTCTCTCTCTCTCTCTCTCTCTCAGCTTATTATCACCTGATGTTTAAACACCTCATACCCAACATTATTTGGGTGGGTTAGGTAAGTTGAGGTTAAGCAAGGTTAGCTTAGGTTAACTTAGATTAGGTTAGGTAAGTGCTAGGGTGGTTAATCTTAAGGTTAGGCCAGATTAGGTTAGGCTAGGGCAAGGTTAGGTCAAGTTAGATTAGATTGGGGCAATGTTAGGTTAAGTTAGTTTAGATTAGGTTAGGTAAGTGCTAGGATGGTTAATCTTAGGGTGGAAATGAATAAACTAGGGAATATATCCCCATGTGTAACGAGAAAAGGTCTGTCACTTTTGTAATGATAGGAAAGATGGTTTAATAAACGAGAGACTCTTACCTGGTTTAATCACCGCCATCTTGGAGAATGACACACAACTCAGTCACTATACTCATAAAACGGTGGCGTAAACAACAGGAAGGAGTCGTTGTAAGGGGAGCTGCTCTTCCCGGCCTGTCCTCACGCAGATGTTTGTAGTGGGAAACAAAGTTAGCTGCTTAAATATTCTAAGTCTTTACCTAATCTTAACTAAGAAGAATAGCATTTATAGATTTATTCATACATTCTTGTATTTTAAATTTGGTCATTGCCTTTTTTTATTTTTTGAGAAGTTTTGGACCAAAAATATGTACTGGACCACTGATTACAGGTGAAAAAGATTCTTGTTATCTCGTAGGTAAAATTATTGACAAGGAAAATATAAGACTAAAAAATTATTTCACATATATCATGCTACAAACACACAGATTCACATACATCAGCTACAAACACACAGATTCACATACGTCAGCTACAAACACAGATTACATACATCAGCTAAAACACACAGATTCACATACATCAACTACAAACACACAGATTCACATATATCATGCTACAAACACACAGATTCACATACATCAGCTACAAACACACAGATTCACATACGTCAGCTACAAACACAGATTCACATACGTCATACATGTTAGGTCGCAGGAAGGGGTAGGTAAACATGCTCTGCGTACACTAAGTTTGCGCACTCGGCCTAGTTCAAATTTATCCTGAGGTGCGCGGACAGTGTTACTATGGTCGTGGTATAAGTGAGGCTGGCCGTATATACCCACTACCTTGTCCTGTGAGTTCAAGTAGTGCACAGATCACGAACCTCCTAACGCACGTGGGTCAAGGTCGATCCACGTAGGTTACTCGTAAATTATTTCTGTGGGCCATTAAAGCAAAGTTGATCTCCGGTTCTTGGAATGATTTTATGCCTGCGGAAAAAACCAAGTCTTATCACCCAACCATGAAAATGTTTATTTACGCAATTTGATTATTATTGTCAGTATTTATTCTTCGTCGCTGATGCCTGCTGACTATAACGATAACTGATAAACATCTTGAAGCAACATTCTCATTATCCATTTTTACTCCCCACACTCACTCCCTCTTATGTGTCACCCATTATCTTAACCGGTGCGTCTCGTCGTTTAGGTATGTATAAAACTTAAAGATATAACACACAGTAAATCCCAACAAGCTGGACGTCTGCCGTTACCTTCAAAAGAAATAGAAACAAGGTCCCCCCCACCAGCCAATGTGGTCTTGTGCCAAATCTGTGAACTTTGTTGTCGTTTACTGTGTGGGGCCAGGAAGTGCCAGCAGAGAGTGTCTGGCCTCCCACACAACACCTCAACACAATGGTTACCTCACGTCGGTATCAACATCCTGAGGGTGTTGGAGTCTCCATCGTCACCTGTAGGCTCAGTAGCGTCGCCAGGGGCCGCTGACGCACCTCTGCTAAGTTTGGCTGTCGTGTAGGGGAGCCCACAGGCGGTCAACCTGTGACTCACCGCGGGGGCTCTGGGTCACCTGGCCACACCTGCCATTCCAATGTCCCCATTCAGAGACATGGGCCCCCCCCCCCCTGCAGATTATATCACATCGAACATATACTGTAGATATCCACAAAATTCCTATCACACCAAGTAAATGAATTATGATACTTAGAGGTGTTTCTCTTGCCAACAATAGCAGTGTTGGTAATGGCTGTGTGTAATGTTGGCATGAGGTGCGGGTGCTGGCGACGGTGCCCCTGACACACACCACATTGGACAAGGCAGTGTAGTGGATGGCGGCGCCACAGCTCACACTCTAAGGTGCCGGCCGACACAGAGACTCCCGGGAAATACAGATCAGCGGGGCACTCGGGGCCTCCTCCCCTCGTCCAGGTAAACACGTACCGTACAATACATTTGACGCCTGTAGGTACAGTCAATGTTCACAGTTACCTTTATATTATAACGTCTGCTGCTTGGATCTTGTCTGACTTATCTCAGATTTCATTCTTGGTGTCTTTCCTAACTCTGCCTTCACACACACACACACACACACACACACACACACACACCGTCTGTACACCACAAGTTCTCTCACCTCCCTGAAATTCAAACTGAAACACTTATTTAGTCAGAAAAATACCGATACAAACTGAACAACAACAGTAATGACATGGATGAACCTTTTGAGTGCTGGAGTTTTATTGAAAGACACGTGATAAATATTGTACATTTGTATCCAAACAATTAATAAATAACATGAAGTTTAGCCCCCAGCTCATGGTTAAACACCCTAAGGTTACACGGGGCCCTCCCCATGTAGCCTTAAGTTAGGGTGCTTAAAAATCATGTAAAATAAGCTGGGGTGTGTAATCTTCAGGCGACTAGATAACATCAACTCTGTGTTTGTAAATACATATTAAACTACTGCCACATGTTCACATATATCTTTTATTCTATAATTTATATGGTCCTTAAATTCTGCCAACCATCTCTCTAACGCCACAGGCAGGTGACTAGCGATGGTTCTCGTCTGGCGAACACTCAGCAACTGTAATGTGTAACTTGCTTAATTAAGGAGTAAAACATTATACTAATGATGAATTATATCAGCATTGAATTATAGAGATGAATTATGCCAGTAATGGATTATACCAGCGATGGATTATGCCAGTAATGGATTATACCAGTGATGGATTATACCAGTGATGGATTATACCAGTGATGGATTATACCAGTGATGGATTATACCAGTGATGGATTATACCAGTGATGGATTATACCAGTGTGAATTATACCAGCTATGGATTATAGTGAATTATATCAGAAATTAATTCAAGTGATGAATTATAGTGAATATTACCAGTGATGAAGTATACTAGCGATGGATTATACCAGCGATGGATGATACCAGTGATGGATTATACCAGTGATGAATTATACAAATGATGGATTATACCAGTGTGAATTATACCAGCTATGGATTATACCAGCGATGGATTATACCAGTGAATTTTACCAGCTATGGATTATACCAGCGATGGATTATACCAGTGTGAATTATACCAGCTATGGATTATACCAGCGATGGATTACCAGTGTGAATTATACCAGCTGTGGATTATACCAGCGATGGATTATACCAGCGATGGATTATACCAGTGTGAATTATACCAGCTATGGATTATATCAGCGATGGATTATACCAGTGTGAATTATACCTGTGATGATAAACCCGGGAAAAGATAAGATTAGATTAGGTTATGGGGTGCGGTGGCTGAGTGTAGGTTAGGTTGTTTAATTAATCTTGAGAGTGGTTGGGTAAGTTAGGTTAGCTTGGGTTGGGTTAGGTTAGTGTAAGTTATCTCAGACTTGGTTTGGTTAGGTTAACTCAGGCTTGGTTAGGTTAGGTTACGCATCACGGTATGGGTGTACTTAAACTAGATCATTTAATCGCTATATAAGCCTTTTGTTCTGAGATTTGACAGCACAGCTTGGTGATCTAAGGATGTGTGTGTGTGTCAGTATGTGAGGGAGCTCGTGTGCACTCTCCTCCACACTCCCTCCTCATGTGTCGAGGAACTATACGGTAGTACTCAACACACCTACATCATTACTCTCCTCGTGTTGACCACTGCAGAGCCACAAGATGTTAGGGGTCATGTCCATCACCCATTGATGTTATAATATATTGTTGCGTTGATGCTATAACATAACCTACCCTAACTTAACCTAACCTTACATACCCTAACCTAACTTTACATATCCTAACCTAATTTAACCTAATCTACCTTAACCTAACTAAACCAAACGTAACCTAACCAAGCCTAACCTAAACTAACCCAACCCTTCCAAGTGGCGTTAAGGTGTTTGATCATTAGGTGAAATAAACTAGGGTTGCATATCTTCAGGTGATCCTGGAAAATGACATTGCTTCGAGTGCTGGGAATTAAAGTTCCAGACATATTATTTACCTGTTCAACACCTGACTGACTTGACACGAGTAGCAAGTGAGGATTAGATTAGATTTTCCCAATAATTTCCGTCTATGTCGAAAACCAATGTTGGGAATGACAGTTGATAGTAGTGAGTGGAGATATCTGAATTATTATTTGTATATCACTCGGCTACACCTCTAGAAATTCATCCCTATGCTGTAACTCCACAAATAAGAAAGCCAGTGAGAGAAAACAAGAAAATGCATGAGAGAACACACACACGCACACCACTGTTCCTAGCCATACACACAGTCACTGCATCACCACCAGAAAGAAGATTCCCCAGCACTCTATGGTCAACAGAGACAGAATGCTCACGTATTTTTAGCATGAGGAGGGAGAGCCGGTCTGGCGTCTTAGCTGACCCCCAACACATTTATGCTTGCCAGCCCTCTAAAGTGTAAATGAAAGATCGCCCACAGATAACCATTTCCTGTTTACCTTTAGACGTCTGTAAGTAATAGTCAGATTTAAATATACTGAACATTACAGATTCATTAGTTCAGAAAAAAAATCCTTGTAAAACACAGACTGTTGTTGGTTGTACTGTGTGACCGTTTGTGTAAATAAGTGATTGGCCAGTCCGTTATACCGAAGCTCTTGGTGTCCGTGAGACCCAAACAGGACGGTGGCTATTAGAGTGATGTGGGGAGTGACGCCTGTATGTGTACACGAGCATAGCATTCATACTCATACGTAAACACACACACACACACACACAAGTCCTGGCACCTCATCCTCACCTCAAGTGACGTTCATGGCCGGTTTTTTTAGGTACAGGGAGTGCATGTATATTTTTGTGAGACTCGGCAGTTTTAAAAAGAAATGAATAAACAATTAAAGAATAAGGTAATAGCAAGATATGAAGGTAGCTCTCAAGGCTGTACAAAGTGAATCTTATTACAAGTACATGAAAACAGGTAATCGCTGCTGGTGAAGACAATTTGTTCATTTTTTTTTCAATTTCAATTGTTTATTCCTTGATAGAGGAAGCGGGATCCTAGTGCTGTCACTGTACAATAACACCAGAAGCATCTGGCAAGTGTGACAAGTATATACAGTATAAATATTATAAAGGGGCTTACTAAAGCCTAAGGAAGGAAGGATATTCCTTTAGCACATAATCAATGTTATTTACATAATATCTGGCCAGTATGGGGAGGATCATCGTGTCTCCGTCAGGGGGTCGCGGAGTGGTGGTCCAGCAGGCGTCACGGAAGCGTTGTGTGGGGGGACATCTTAGGAGGTAGTGGATAAGGGTGCTGCTGTCGGGTCTTCTGCATAATGCACAAGAGCGTCGCTCAGGGGATGCGGGGATACCAATCTCCCAAGCAAAGTCATATACAGTATATAGACCATTTGTTGATGGTATAATGTATTACTGCGTATCAATAATTAATTCAAGCATGTACATATAGACAAAAAGTACACTAGCGAACGACTTTTAAAATTTATTATGTACCTGTACTCTTACATCAAGTAATAAGACTCACTCTCACGGGGGAGGGGGGGGTTGACCTTGATGTTTCCCCAGGCAACGAGGGATTAATTTTTTCCTTGAAATACAAAGCAAAAGGTGCAGTGAAAGATTTTCAGGTTGTTTTCGCGAGGACAACGCTCTGGCGTTAGTGTAAATCTCCGGGATTAAACTTGAGAAACTTTTAATGTATTGTCGTAGTAGTCGAGGCCAACCAGCTAATATTTATTGAGCTTCAGAATCGTTATTTTTCTGAAGGTTTATCAATTGGTGTAATAGCCCAGCGTTACTAAACTCAGTCTTGTATATTATAATCCACTTTCCTTTGTTCAAACTCAATTTATTTGCATTTTTATTATATCTGCGAACTTTAAGCATTCAAACTTGACTTTTGGAATTCTAATGCCACAACAAATTCTATGTTTACAGAAACAACCCAAAAACTTTAGCTCATAAATGTTATATTTTAACAGCAAGTTATTTGAAACATTCTTCAGTTCTTCACCTAGCAGGATTTTCAAGCCGAGTTTACAAATGTTTATATCTACCTTAGACAAAAACTGTTAGAAATTTGAATGACATGTTTTGAATATTCCGTAGGTTACCTTTCCTGTTAAATATAATCATTCAATTAAATTATTATTTATTACAGGAAACAGTGATCACAAAATATTTTTATTATTATTATTATTATTATTATTATTATTATTATTTAGTTTCAACTACAAGTTATGCTTTTTAAATTTATTAAGCCAAAAATAAAGATGTTTATTGATATTTGCTTTTTCACTCGACGTTAATAAGTCTGCACTAGACTTTGACCGTGGGCGTCGATATTGCACTATGGCGGTCACTACATAACTAAAAAAAAGTATGTCCAGATTAAGCAGTGTCCTCCTGTGAAACACATAGCACGGTGTGAGCCAGGGAATGTATCACAATATGCGTCTGTCTGTTGTATACCACCTGCATATAAGATGGTGGAGCTAATATGGAAGAATAATGCACGTTATCTGATATGTTTATATGAAAGCAATGTGCTAATCTCATTTCAGTGTCTGTGTGTGTGTGTGTTGAAGGGGCGCCAATGTGAGGTGCTCAGTGAGAAATAGCAGCTGGTCCTTATTACGTAATTACTGGATGTCACCCATCAGATAGACAGTCACATAAACACGTCCATTAATATAAAGCTTCAGCGCAAAATTGAATCATTCAAAGTCTTTAAATACTGTACTTTAAATTTTTCGTGACAGTCAAAGTTTGTTCAAGAAATATACAGTATTGGTAACGTGCCTCAAATATACCTCGGGTAATATACTGTATTTCAAGTATAACGATCCTAATTGTGAGAAGTACAGATAGATAGCCTTTAACGAACAGATATAAAAGACCACCACCTGTGTACCGCGTGATTAAACCAAGGCAAACTAAAATACAGCCCCAAATTTAGGTCCCTGGGTCGTCTGTAACTTGTGCCAAATAATTGAAATAGTCAGTGGAGGAATGCGTGCACCTCCACAGAAAACGAACATCAAACCAGTAAAGTTTGGGTAACTCTTGTAATTGAGGGTAACCTTTTGTGTATTGTTTGTTATATACCATATACGGTCAAGGGAGGATCCAGGGGGGTTCTGGGGGTCCGGACTCCATCTTTTCACCAGAAAATTGTTTTCAGGCATTTTTGTATAGTACAAAGTATTTACTATTGACCTCAGAATATCTCCTAATATCACGTGCGCTTGGCTTCACAATGGCCTCAAAATGTCCATAATATTGGTCAGATTTCCCCCCCAAAATTACGGTGGGGGCTACAGCGCCCTCCCTAAACCCCTCCAGCTGGGTGTACTTGCTGAGCTCGCCATGTTCTTGAACCCCCTCTTTTGATATTCCTGGATCCGCCCCTGTCGGTGATAAATGTTTGCGTGTGTAACTATTGTATGTTTTTTTTATTGATGGTGTAAGTGCCTTTATGTGATTTTCTATATGAGCCTTGGTAATAGTTTAGACCGAATGCATGCCGTAACAACCTACTGAAGTACATTCTACAATAGAATATTAATGCTTTACCTCGAAATCGCCTTCTTTCGGCTTCACTTAACAGGAAGATCGTTGATATATAATTTATCGTTAATAAATTAAATCTCTTAGCAAAACCCAACCTAACCTAAAATACTGCAGTTATATTGTTTTTATATTCTAAAAAAAAACAAAAACAATAACCGAGACACGACGAACAAGGCAGACAATGTACAGTAGATGTATTTTAGTTCTCAACGACGAAAAACGTTAAAAGCGTAAGTTATTGCTCATGCATTGTTCGTCGATTTCATGAGATAAGAAATAGTTTATCTTCTTTGTTGAAATGTCTTACAGTGGGTAGTAAAGGCGCGCCATAGGTGTTAACTAATATTTGAGTCTTTGTATGTTACATAATTTACAGATGCAGACCCCATACCGAACATCTTCAAATATAAATACTGTTTGATGACGCACTTAAGAGCAACTTGTTTGTGTCCTAGCTGCTTTGAGACCCTTGCTTCACATGTACACGGGAACCTGTTCCTGTGTGATTCATAGTTTGCAATTCTCTCACGTGACACCACCAACTCTTGCATAATGATCAGTCTCCTTAAAAACACGTACGTCCTTGTTTCTACCAGCGGTGTGGCGGGAGGCTGGAGACTGAGCTCATTTCGATCTATTTTGTAACAATTTACATCAATAGGTATAATTATATTATTATTAGGAATGACTAAAAAAAAAAAAAAAAATATATATATATATATATATATATATATATATATATATATATATATATAATATATATATATATATATATATATATATATATATATATATATATATATATATATATATATATATATATATATATATATATATATATATATTAGTGGCTCGGGTAAAGCTTCTAGCAGTAACCTTGAACAATCCTGAACGGAAAGCCAATTTTTAGTGCATTTACATGAGTTATTAAGAAAAACACTAGTGTTCAGTTAGAAAGACACTAGTGTTAAGGTCTGAATATTTATATTGTAGAACTTACCGCCACACACACACTTCACACTCGAACATTCGAGTGTGAAGTTTGCTGCCTGTAACTTGTCATGTTATGTAGAATTGAAAAACTATATTATGTGCCATCTAATACACAAATGATGAATACACTGCCCATAAATACAGTACTGAATATTCTCACGCAAAATATATCTTAACTTGAAATCAAAACATTTCGTCAACAATAGTGTGAGTAAAATTAAAGTTTTTGAATGGAGTGTTTGTTTACCCTCAGGATGGATGACCTGCTGACGTGCACGGTGTGTTGTGAGCAATACCATGAGAAGGCTCGACACCCTGTACTGCTGCCCCGCTGCGGCCATTCCTTCTGCCGCCCCTGCGTCGCCTTCTTGGTCAAGAATGGGTGCGTCATTTGCCCCAGCTGCCGCATGGACCAGCGGGTGGAGACGGCTGACCACCTACCCACAGAGTTCAGTCTCCTGGCCATCACCAGTGTCCAGCAGGTCACCAAGGTAAGGTGGCTCCCTCTCAGTCCACACCCACACCTTCTCTCACACACCCACACCTTCTCTCACACACCCACATTTGTCTCACACACCCTCAGTTTGTCTCACACCCACAGTCTCACATACCCGCACATTATATCCCACATCAATTTCCACACATCTCCCACACCCACAATTTGTATCATGACCACGCCTTATCTTCTTGATTTATATTATCAATTATTTACAGACCATTCTCAGGTGACAATACATACCACGACCAGACGTTAAATTGAGCCCCTCCACAAACTATGACCACCATCACCCAGCGCAAGACATTTTTTACAAATTTTCATTTTTCACTCTTTTAATACTTGTAGGTATATTATTTCACTATGGTTATTATATCTAGTGTTAATTCATTTCTAGTTGTCAAAAAATTAAATAATATAGGTGAGGTCTCTTTGTTTTGGTCAGTAAAACCAAATGTATTGATTGTGCAAAAACATAGTATCGAAGGAATTTTTTTTGTGTGTATTTGTTTTATGGACAATATGAAGGACGAGTAAGGAAAGGGAGAAATAGATAAAAATTGAGAGGGGGAATTTTTTTTTTAATTTGATAGAAATTGAGCCAGAGATTTGTGATTTGGTTAGATTGAATAGGTTTACTGATCAAAATAAACAAACACCCTGTACAGTAGTGAATAGGGAGAAATGGGGAGAAAGAATAGTGAGAAAACTGAGATTTCTGATTTAGTCAAATATTGTGGGTGAACTGATCAAAACAAACAGATATCCTGTGTATAAAGAATCTCCGTCTCTTACCCTATGTGTTATTCAACTTCTTACCACCTACCGACTCGGTGTTATTAATACAGAGGAGCCATCGTCACCCTGCGTGTCCCCAGCCGATGCATACTAAGTGCTGGGCGAGGCTGCAGGTGGCCGGGCCCGTCCAGGTGTCCGACACACCATCATGAACACCGCCAGTATGCATGTGATCAGAATTTTTTTAATATTTTGTGTCTTCATTTTGTCACTAGTGGCAGGTAAAGGGTGCCCCCCTTCCAGCTTCTTGTAAGAGATACAACTTAGCTCTTTCATTCTGCTTATCTGTATCCTTTTTTCTATCTAATTTGTGTATCTACCTATCTAGTTATCTGCCTCTAAGTAAATCTATTTTACGACTTTCAGTAGGAGACGTTTAGGCAATGGGATGAAATGGCTCTACCCACAATATAAGACACATCTGTGGTAATAGTGAGGCTTAAGAGAGATGGCCCACCATCACTTGCATCTGACGAAGCTCGACAGTCCTGACGAGGATGATATGATAACATAATACAGTATTGCCTCTAAAAAGAAGTTAATGTTAAGGTTTTATTATATATTTAGATCATTATTTCAACTCATAAACCATGGTAGGTAATATAACCTGATGGCTACGTTTATACAGACCAAGGGATGTTTCGTCATGCCCAGTGAAAAGAAATATGGCTACCCCCTCGAGGCTGCTACATAAACGGACCATGAAACATCGTTTTTACGTGAACTGAGACCCTGATGCACCGTATGAATGGTCCTGATGAGGCTTTCCGTTAGTTCTTCCGTGTTTTTGGTCCGGTAAGTAACCATGGTCGCTCCCAATATCATTATACTGTATGATATTTTACTTCGCTGTCGTGGTAATGATTTTATGGTTTTCGCTATTTATGCTTTCTTTATCGCGTCATTTTATTGCATCTTTTTTTATTTCGCTTCGTTTTTCGTGTCATTTACTTTATCATTTCGCTTATTTTTAACACCAACATTTTCTTCTTAGTATTTTCGTAAATAATAATTTCTCTAACGCAGCAGACAAGAAGAAAATTACAGCTTTGGCTACGTGAGTTGTGCTGATGTTGCTGCCCAGACATCGACTGTAAATAATAACCGTATAATCATGTGTGTACGCGCCTCTCTTATTTCATCTAACTTTCTTATTTTTATACACGTGGACACTAATATCAACGAGGAAATAACAATAATAATAGCGTTCCCTATGAAAGTTTTATTTTATCTCCAGCATTAACGAATTCTACACATGATGTCTTGTGTTAATTATGAATTCTCTTAGCCTTCAAATATACGAAGTTTAACTATTAATAAAAACTTCGAAGAAATATGATATCCTTGTGTGTGTGGAGTGTTTGTGTTCGTGACTGTATGTGTGACTCCGTGTGTGCTTGATACCTTTCATGTATGTGTGTGCTGGGATGACTGTTAGTACGTATGTTTACTTCCAGTTATCTGTTTATTGTTGTCTGACCGTTTCTATTCGTTTTTATGGTGACCTCTGCTGTAGTCCTGTCTGTCTGTGTGAAGTGTAGCTGTTATAAACCCTTTGAGGACGATGGTTTAACCTTTCGAGGACAATGGTTTAAGCACCGTCTGTTGTTAGCTCTGTGTGACCTCTCGCAGATGGAGACGTGTCAGCGGCACGACGTGAAGCTGTCATTCTGGTGTAAGACGTGTTCAGAAGCCGCCTGTGGGGAGTGCTTGTTCGAGGATCATCCAACCCACTCCCACAACGTCCTCAAGGCAACCACGTAGGTGCATCCTCGACACACACACACACACACACACACACTCACTTTCATTCTTTATCCCTTATTCTCCCACCCCTTATACCACTTATCTCCACCCCTTACTAACCCCTTTCACATTCACCTCAAATCCCCCATCCTTCACCCCTCATCTGCTACCTCTCACTAGCACCCTCAGCACCTCTCATACTCACCTCTCACTAGCACCCTCAGCACCTCTCACACTCACCTCTCACTAGCACTCTCTCACCACTCACCTCTCACTCACACCCTTAGCACCTCTCACACTCGCCTCTCCACTAGCACCCTCAGCACCTCTCACTAGCACCCTCAGCACCTCTCACTAGCACCCTCAGCACCTCTCACTAGCACTCAGCACCTCTGCACTAGCACCCTCAGCACCTCTGCACTCACCTCTCACTAGCACCCTCAGCACCTCTCCTCTCACCTCTACTAGCATCCTCAGCACCTCTCACACTCGCCTCTCACCTAGCACCCTCAGCACCTCTCACACCTCACCTCTCACTAGCACCTCTCCCTCACCTCTCACCTAGCACCCTCAGCATCTCTCCCTAGCACCCTCAGCACCTCTCACACTCACCTCTCTAGCACCCTCAGCACTAGCACACCTCTCACACTCACCTCTCACACTAGCACCCTCCCTCTCTCACTAGCACCCTCAGCACCTCTCACACTCACCTCTCACTAGCACCCTCTCACTAGCACCTCCACACTCACCTCTCACTAGCACCCTCAGCATCTCTCACACTCACCTCTCACTAGCACCCTCAGCACCTCTCACACTCACCTCTCACTAGCACCTCTCACTAGCACCCTCAGCACCTCTCACACTCACCTCTCACTAGCACCCTCAGCACCTCTCACACTCACCTCTCACTAGCACCCTCAGCACCTCTCACACTCGCCTCTCGCTCTTTGTACCCTACCTCTCACTTTGCGTCAGGTCTGTGTTTACAAACCATAATTTGTAGTTCAAAAATATCAGTAAACAATATAGGTACAGGCACAGATTAAAGAATATAAAGTACAGGTGCAGATTAAGCTGTAATATAGTACGGTTACAGAATAGGACAGGTACAGATTAAAACATTAAGTACAGGTAGTTGTATCGGCCCTTGTGGTGAGAATATTACCTGCCCTTAACCTCGATATGGTCAGAAATAATAATAAATTCTTTCTTAACCGCGTCACTGACTGGGGTTAAGCCTCACGCGCCACACTCGACTCCCTCTCCATCTTGCAGTAGATTTGTGTCAATGATCCCACAATAGGGTATACTTTATCTGTTTTATTTTCATTGGACAATATTTCGTGTTATTCTGCAGAGATCCACACATTGTGGTATTTTGGTTATATTCTATTATTTCTATACTATATGCAACCTTTCTTCGGGTATAAACATTGTAGTACAGTATTTATATTGTTTAAACATCGTAATACAGCAATTATAGTACTTAGATTACATTTTCTCACCTCTCCGCAGATACATCGCGGAAATGAAAGATTCAGTAACAGATATCACCGACAAATTCATGGACGCTCTTGAAGCGCGGGAAAGCTGGTACCACCGACAGATATTCCAGTGTACCAAGACGATCAACGACGCCATCCGCACCATTAGCGTCCTCAGGAAGGATATGGATGATGCCAGGGATCTCATAAAGGGCGTGAAGATCGTGGAGGGGATTTCACCTACCACAGCCCTTAGCGACGCCTCCAAGTGCCTCGGCCTCAAGTGGAATCTAAAGGACTGTAATCTGGGACTGAGTAGAACCACAGGAAAGAAAGAAGAAAAAACCGCCGAGGAGGAGAAAGAGAAAGATGAGAGCGAGACCAAGAACAAGGCTGATGATAAGGATAATGACGAGAAGAAAAAGGAAATGATTGGGAAGGAAAAGGAAATTGAGGAGTCGGAAACTTTGACTGAAGAGGAAAAGAAAAAACGTAAAAAAATGCTCCGAGTTAAGGAAAAGTTGGCTCTAGCTGCTGCGGCCGCAGAGAAGTCGACTTCAGATTCAAAAGACGAAGACAAGAAAAAGAAGATAGATGACAAAACAGTTGGTAAGGAGAAGACAGATGATGTGATAGAGAAAAACAGCAAAGTCAACGAAGTACAATCGTTGACAATCGGTGCAGCTAGAACGAAACTCCTGGCGACGAAATACGCTCCAGTGGCCCGAGAGCCTTCCGTAACTCCCGAGCGAGAAGTGAAAACCCCAGGAAACAAGCCATCACCTGCTCCGGACAAGGGAGATAAAGAGGAACTAAACAAAGAAACGAGCGACAATAAAGAAATAGATGCAACAAAACTTCAAACAAAAGAAGAAACAGATGGAACAAAACCCAAAGCAACAGAAGAAACGGGCGCCAAGAACTCAGAAACGGCAACAGAAAACGAATCAAAGAATACACAAGAATCCCCTTCAAGCTCACATACCTGTATAGAAGCGGCAGATAAACAGAAGGAAGAAAAAACTGTGATGAAGAAGGAGCCAGCTACAGGAGTGACCAAGAGACCCAAACTAGGGAGAATGGCTCGTCAGGCCCTAAAGAGATCCCAGACTATGAATTTCCAACAACCACCCACAGCTGACGATAACTCTGCCGCAGACTCCTCCGACCAAACACAGTCGGACAACATCAAAGGCCTAGACTTAGAAACTTCAAAACTCACTAAAAACGAGGAGCCGTCGGTGGATAATAAGGATATTGAGGAACAAGCAAATAGCAAGACGAAGACAGAAGAGAGGGCAGAAGAGGATATAAAAGATGAGAGGGAACAACCAGAAAACACAAACAATCACACTCAAGCAGACAAGCCAATGTTTGAAATGGAACCCGAAGAGAAGGAAAGGATTGCCACTGAACTTCTGCTGGTTAGTTTCGTCTATTTTCTTTCATATCCTTCATTTCTTTCAATTCTGTCTCTCCCTTTTTTATTTTCCACTTATTGTATTTTCCCCGTTACCAACTTTCCTAATCGATAATAAAATTTGCCTCTCTGTTTTGCTTTTCTTCAATATAGAGCGTCTGTGATATGGGGGGAGTTGATGTAGCATTAAGTAACTCGATTCGTAACTTACACCAATAAACGTCATTTTAACCGTGACTTATATGTGCATTTTCTTCCTATATTAAAGTGAAAACTATCTGGTATTAAATTAATGAGTATAATGAATATTTATCTAGTGTGTTCCTCAAAGGTTTATAAATTCCACCTCGAGATAAGCATAGTCCTCGGCACTCACTGTCGCCGACTCTGATTTCGAATTGTTCTCACCGTCTTTCAGCCTCACCCTCACTATTAAATTGCAAAATTATAAATAAATGTTCCCTGACTATCGTTCATTCAGTTTTCCATCGCATAAGATTTAACATATAAGTTACATGACTCCCATGACCTTAACCTACTCTAAACGCCACAGGTACCTTGTCTGACTGTGATCGTGGAGGGTGTCGGGGGTCGCCTTGCTCACGTCACCTGGGAACCCAAGGGCCTCCACGTCTACTGCCACCAGTATCAGGAGCTGCCATATGACGTTAGCATCAAGGTCAGTCACTACACCATGCCCATCAATATACAAATCTCACCTACGCATAAGTTCTGAGTCGCCAAGAGCATTTTTTTTTACGTAACCGTCGTAACTTGAAACTGGTTTATTCTATTTTTTTGTGTTTCGCCTTGAGGACTGCCCCTTTTTTGTGTTGCTTTCCGTTACATCATCAAGGTTAGACATTACAACACGCCTTCTTAAACATAAAATTAATTTAAGTGATGAATTTTAAGCTTCTATGAACGTCCGAATTTGAAATAAACTTATTCTGTATCTTTATACTGTACACAACTTCTTGTATCTTTGGACTGTATATATGCAGTGTAGGAATACAATGTACAGTCGGGGTCAAAAGTCTTGAACACTTAGCAATATCTGGCATCTACTTCTGAGTTATACATATATGATTGGGATGTGCTAATAACTCTACTAGTCATCACATATTATGCCTGAACCACAAAATGGAATAAAACTCTCCTTAATACCCAAGATCTTCGGGTACTTACATGCCAAATACTGTCAAGTGTTCAAGACTTTTGACCCCGACTGTATGTACCTAATACAAATATATAAATAATATACATAGACTTGCGGCTATACACACAATATACGACCCCCTTCACTAGTGAGTTTACAGGGCTCGTCATATAAGCATTCCACAAATCATTACAGTGAGATATTTATTTTAATATTGTTTTACTTTGATCCATAGTATGTTTACTATTGCGAGTTTCCTTTTGTCGAATGTAAACAAACACAGGGCTGCCACTCTGCACCAAATCTGACGAGCCCCTGTAAACGCACAACTAAATGGGACTGTACATTACGTTTACAAATACATTAATTTAAATGATCATTTAAATCCCAGTCCTCAAGATAAGACTTTAAGCTAATGGTGTTAAGATACCTCACTGAATATCTTTGTATGTTGTTTAGCTGAGTGATGTTCGAACTGTTTTAGCTCCTCTGTGGCGCCGTCACCACTACACAACGTCCAGGCCAAATAAAATTTATTCTACAAGAAAATCATAGAACTGACGATAAAGCTTCATGTTAGTTATATCCTAAATTAAAGTTACATTATCTCTTGTCGTTGTATGTATTATTGTAATTTTGATCTCCTTGTTATGGCCGGCTTCCTAAAAGGTGTCATCATCAGAATCACCTACCTCATGATTCATTTGTCAATAAAAACTCCTTCAGATGAATATTGTAGAGCGTCCAATCAAAAAAGGTTCCTGTTTATGTAGCCCAGACAGGAATACACAAACATCTTGCACAAATACTTGGTTACGGCACTAGACGCTGGGGGAATATTAACATAAATGCTTGCATGATTTTAAACACACACACACACGTTTTAAATCTTACTTAATAAGGTTAGAGTTCTGAGGCTCGTGTCTTATCAAGGTGAAGGTGGAGATAGACGGCATATGACAACACTTTACAGATGTGATAAAAGACACTTGAGTCTATATTGTTTATTGTTCTACCTCTATTGTGTGGCAGATCTAAACCCGGGTACAGGTACAGGTCCAATACAGTTAAGTTCGGGCACAATCAACACAGAGTCAAGGAGGTGTAGCTTGTCAGTTCAATATGATCCTGTACACGTTAGCACAGTACAAGAATAGTACTGATTATGTGAGATACCGTTACAGGGACAAGACTGTTAGGTACAAGAATAGATGCAAGACTATTGGGTGCAGGTGAGCCTGGTTGAGGCTGGAGCGAGGGAGTGTGGTGGGTGGAGGGCCCAGCAGACAGACGACCTACGCCCTCACGGGGACAACGTTCTGTCTGGCTCATGGAAGGGGGGGGGGGACCAGACAAGGACCACCACCCTACTCGCCCTCAACACCCACCTACACCACTAACTAGCTTGCAGGTGGCTCTAGTGGGGGAGTTATTTCATGATCATTAACCCTCAACCACCTGTACCACCTACCGTCTTTCAGACAGCTTACCTTGTGTGAGTGTGTGCGTCTGTAGTCGGGAGCGTATGTGTGTCCCTGTTCTTACCTGTTTGTGTGAATACTCGAGCGTGTTCATGATCTTCTGGTAAACTTCTTATGACTTATTTCTTCTTTACAGTGGAACGTACTTCATGCCTTCTTGCCTACCAAGTCACCTGTGGTCTTCTTGGACGTTGGGACCGAGAAGAAGATACTGGGTCGTGTCTACATCACTCTGTGGGGACACCTCCGTCGAGCGACAAACTTCCTTCACTTGTGTTTAGGAGATCGTGGCCCATCCTATAGGAACACCCTGTTCCTCGAAGTTCTCAACCCCGACTCGCCAGGGGAGAGGATCAAAGGTGGGGACTACGACTACAACAACGGGCGGGGAGGAGAGGGACTGCTGGATGATTTGGAGCGTCAAGAGGGCTATTCGATGCCCATGGAGGCCGGGCTAGTCACGGCTGGGAACCCCGCCAGGAAGGAACAGGATTCACAGTTCTACATCTGCACGGAGGACGATCCTGACAGGAACTTCGCGTGTCCATTCGGTCGTGTAGAGTCTGGGCTGTACGTGATGAAGGAGGCGGTGTGGTTGGTGGTCACCCAGCAGGTCTGGATCAGAGACTGCGGTGTGGTGGTAGACGTGCCCAAGTTCTAGCTGAATATCCCACACCATCACACTCTGTGGTGACAATAAAGTACACCGAGCCTCCCTAGATACCTTGAAGACATTCTGGGTCACAAGTTGACTGACACCCTGTACACGTTTGAAGGACTCCAAGGTGACTGGATGACACCATGGAAACGTTTGCACAATTCTGTTTTTAGGATCACCTTACAAGCCCCTGAGAGCTTGGATCACTTGTCTCAAGACACCAGCTATAGAGGCTTGAGCACTAGACAGTCAAACGAAATTCTACTCGAGTCGACCTACACTGGACTGGGAACTCCGACACCCTGGCTGATTCGCACCCAACGAAAACGATGTACAGTAAATAAGTAATTTCTTCGTGTGTGTAATAATAAAACGAGTGTCAATATGTTTCAGTATATACAGTATACAGTGTTGTAGATAGATAACTTGATGGAGACATGTTGGAGATCTACGTTTACGTCTGTTGAAGAAGATTCGTATTTAGGTCAGTTTTGAAGATCTCTTTATACAACCTACTGCGGGAGATTACCAGTAGGAGGTGAGGGCTTGTTGGTCTCCCAGTCCTCTCCTGCCGCTGCCGAGGTCCTCTGGAGTTCGCCTCAGTTCTGTGTTAGGTTGGCTGAAAGGATCAGTAAATATTTTTTTACTATAATGTTTATTGTCCTTGTGTGGGTATGGTGTGTGTGTGTAGAGGGGGGAGTCATATTTTGCTTAATAATAATAATGTAGAAATTATTTTCTGATATTTTGCATCTAGAATCTGACTTGTAAATATTTTAACTGGCAACCTGTAGCGTCTTTGTATGCATGTGTTGTCAGGGATAAGTCCTGGATTTCTCTAAGTAATTCATAATTTACTTGTATAAATAGTGATTTTGGATTATTAGCACTTAATTATTAGTCTGATGAACGTATGTGGCCGACGGATTGAGACGAGTTCACTAGTGCTCGTAAATTATTAATCCTGGTGGTTTTTAATAAATAATTAAGGTATTGTAACTGTATTATAAATACTGGTTTTATAAGATAGCACCGAGTCTGTCAATGTATTATATACTATAAACTTATAAATTAAACTGACAATACATGTCAGGTGACGTAATCAGCTGGCGGTACTTTCGACCGTTCGCCGAAAAGAGAAGCAGAACGAGATTGACCGTTGAGCTGTGTACTCCGTCATAAGGACTAACCTATTTTGGTCCTTTTTTTAACATAAGCTCTACTATCAGCGTAGCAATTACACTCCACAATGGAAGAGCCTCAACGTGATCACAATATAACGGATTCATAACCCCGTCCTGACCCAAAAAATCGGCTACCGGTAAGTATCTTCCTTGGCAATTACAGGGAGAGAAAGGTTTTCAGGCAGGACGAGTTGAGGTGGAGTAAGCCTTCCTACACTCAATGGGATTTGCTAGTGTCATAAATCTTAACTAATAATAACGGTTTATTAAAAAAAATATAGCAGCCAAAAGAATGAAGATATACATTGGACAGATATGACACGTAGTGACTTGGGGAAGGGGGTCGTTAACCATGCGGAACGTATGTGTGGTCATCGGAGTTGTCACTTCATGGCGTTAGAAGCTTCAGATCCGACACCGTAGCCGTTACACTGGCATGTCCCTATATGAGGGCTATTAACAAATTCCACCTTATAACACACATTTTCTTGTTTTTATTGACAACTAGAACAACCGCAATGCCAATCGTCCAGGAACCCTGGCAATGAAATTTATTATTAGTGAAGTCTTTACCAATTTATCAAAGTTTCTTTTGAACATACTCACTGATATATTTTATTCCACACGTATCGTTATTAACTGAATGTGGTTCTCGTATTTCAAGCATCCTCAGGTTACTGTAGAGAGGATGCAAGTTTTCATGAAGGGGGGGGGAGCTGTTTTAATGGGCCAGTGGTCTGGCCTGGAGACTGCCATCTTAAACCCCATAAACCAGAGGGCGTATAAGAGTCCAGAGGTACAAAATATGTTATTACAGAACCTTCCATTGTGGAGATTATACTCTTAACACGAAACGAAGGTTAGGGGGAGGAGGGGTTGTAGCCACAATTTTACACCCCGCCCAGGTCTCTACTACTCAGACGCCTAATAACCTACCACTGTCACAAACTACTAATATCCATTAAGATTACTGCTGAACATGAAGGCGATGTCTCCATATTGTGATGTCGTCTAATATACATGAATTTGACACCTAACCAGCGCTTCGCAACAATTATGGCCATAGCCTTGAAATCCTGAGACGCTAGTCATGCGCGCGCTGCCAGTCCAAAGGTGCCGATTCTTAAATTTATAGTGGAAGTTAAATTTATCGACCCCCCCATTCCCACATTATCCCCAATCATTCCCTTGACCTTATCCCAAGCATGTCTGCATGAGGCTCTTTAATGAGTCCGCATGTACGGTACAGTATGTCATAGACACCCTGTGGGTATATGCAAGGAAGCCCCACTTGATGGCAGCACCCTACAGCCCACCGCCAGTGGACACGACCCAAAATTTCTTAATGATTTTATTTTCTGTGCTCAAGTCCTCATGTATGAGATATTTGTCAGTTCTGTAAAATATTATCAGTTTCCTTTTGTGCGTTGTGTCCATGTCGAGATTTTTGGCAATTTTTTTATGGGTCCTGGTGAAGCTGAACGAATCCGCGAGCTCCAAGGTTAACGTAACGAGAGATGTATCCCTTCCAGTGCGAGCGTTAATTACGTAAAAGTTCCTAATTTGTTCACGTAAAGGCATAACACACATTTAAGAGTTAATTCGCTGAATTTATAAACACTGAAGAAGATAACTCTACATGTTAACGAAATATCAAATAGCTTCAGAAAATTTAAGCTTAAATTAAAAAAAAAATCGATATCCAGTGAAACTTGGTGCGGGGTGTGCGAGACCCGTGGCACCTCCTGGATAGTTCCAAGTTCCAGTATGGCTTCGGCCTTGGTACAGCGCAGGTGCAGGTGTGTTAGTGTCGTTTGCGCCTACCTCGCTACTTTGTGTCACTGGCTCAGATAACAAATTGGTGAACAACAATATGTAGACGCCCGAGATGTTACTGTGATCTACTGTGGAAACTTAAATGGATTATGTTTTACCGAGTGTCATTTAGATGGTTTTAATTGGCTGATAATCCGATGATAACTTTAGTGTGACAAAACTTGTTAGTTACAACCAGTGGAGACCAGTCACCTGTGGTGACAAGTTGTGCCGAGGGATACGGCGTTGTTTTAGAATAATCTGTGGGTGGGTGTGAATCCCCTTGCGCTATGCTAGTCTGCTTAGCCCTTGAAACAACCATCGCCTTGTGACTCATCACATACAGGTATGTTCAGCGTCTACAGATGAATCTTGATATATCGTGCAGGTGTTGTGGATGTGTGTGGGCGTCATGGAGCTTAGCTGAGCAGGTATCGTCTCTCAACATATCTCCTTGGCCTATAAAATAGACCTTAATCCTGCACCAACGCTTCCAAAGCTCACGCAGTCACGTAAACAATTTTGTAACTTGGGTCAATTTAAACACCATGATTTTTTGTTCATTGCTTTCTATCGCGACGAGAATTATTATTAAAAAAAGTTTATTCATCGTAATGGTTGTTTGACCTAATGACTGCTGATGGTGAGGACCTGTTTGGTGAGCAGGTCGAGTTAGCACCTCTCAGTAGGACAAGTGGACACTGTTCACCCCGCGGCCAGTGAGTACTATTGGTGGACCTGCATGGTCACTTGTACTAGGCTGTGCATGGCGAGTAAAACTGCCGAGTTTAACTAAGTATCAACAAGTATGATTCATCCCATGTTTAGAAAAGCACGACTGACAACAACGCTTGATGCAAATAAATGTGTTCTTCCGATACATAGCGTGACAACATGAAGGATTTAAAGAAATTTTAAGTATATAAATATGATTCCTGGGGCACTTGTAGGTAGTAGAGTAATAGACAGACGACTCCGAGTGACTGTGAAGCCCGATTTTTATGCGTGCCCTCGTTAAAATCTGGTTTTATAGACTTAAAGTGAGCGTATATATCAGATTTTAAAGCCAGTATTTGTTTGACGCGTCTGGTTATTCAATTGAGCGTGATCTCGGAGATCCTCTTCAAACCAAGTAGTGGTAGGAGGCGAGACTCCCTGTGGTGGACCAGCACGGTCGTCTATAGACTTAAGGACAACATGAGAAAACCTCACCAGTTTCCCGGTTCAGTGAGGTATTGGAATTTTGGTCACGGGTGTAGTGTTCCGGTGTCAGATATGACTACGCACTATTCATGGCAGACGAAACGAACCACTCAAACCTAACCCAAAACATACTGATCTTAAAATACATGTCTTGTAAGATTTGGCTCCAGAAATTACAACCTTGCCAGGAGTTTTGTTCTAAAACCAGTGAGTTGAGGAAATTGCGACTCTACGAGGCTATCACACGAAGATTAGAATATTACTGATTTTATTTTACATTTGAGGTTCGATGTGGTTGTCTACCGACCGTCACCTAAACAAATGCTAGACTTATTATTTGTGTTTTTGGTAGTTTCAGGGTGGACTATTATTGACTGGCAGAAAAAAATGATCCAACTTAACTTTCCTTAAAGATTTTAGTAGAGCGTTAAGTTATTGGATCGGTTCAGATTAACTAAAAACAGCTGAATTCCACTGACAGATTACTACAATTATCTTAGTGAGAGTTCCAAACGCGCTTTCAGATTCATTTGTATTGTAGGTGGATGGTGCTATGTTAAGGCCAGGAGAGGGATGGGGGTAGCAGCAGCTAGGTTGTTAAACTAGGCTAGGATACGGTAAGCAAGATTTGGTTAAGGTACGGTACGTTACGCTAGGCCTGGTTAAATTAGACTACCTTAAGATAAACAAGGTTGGGCTCTGCTATGTTAGGCTAGTAAGATATGCTTATTTAGGCTATGGTTGGATAAGTTTAGCTGGGCATAAGGGTCGTGTCGATGGTGCTAGATTGAGGGCGTCAGACTAGCAGTTAGCTCGTGACAGGTAGGAGCGGACAGGTACTGAGAGGCGAGGGTTAAGCAGGTAGTGTGCGCTACTGGCCTACACCCCCTGGCGGCGCTGACGGCGGCGCACTGGCTCATTGCTGGCACGCGCACAGGGGCAGGTGGTGGGTGACGGTACAGACGACGAGAAAGCACAATATGTTTTAGACATGGGGTGTAGACGGGGACGGCTTAGTGTTGGTTTAAGTACAGCGCACTGGATATATGCGCAGAGAGGGGGACGGCACAGCTTGTGTGTAGGCGGAGCGGGAGAGGCGTGGCGAAATTCCTCCTGAGTCGACTACACCCCTTGACCTCCCTCGTGTTGTCCTGCCCTCTAGTTCACCATTTTTCTATCCACTAGTTGGATTTTCATTTTCTCAGAATTCTTTCCTGTCTCTGTCCTTTCATTTCCGACTCGTCTTTAATCTGTCTCCTCTTCTTTTGTCTGCTTCTTCTTGCATCTCTCTCTCTCTGTTCTTACATCATCCTCTCCCTTCTTGCTTATCTGCCCCCATGTTTCATCTCAGTTTTTTTCTCCCTGTATCTTCTTACATTTTTTATTTTGTTCTTAGACCATCCTCTCCCTTTTTGTTTCTTCCCCTCCCATCTCCGTGTGTGTGT